TGCTTGTTGATTACCGCTCCTTAAGGGTGGACCAGCCTTATCAGCCCACATAGGAAGACAATGCAGCCACTCCTTATATGAGATCTGATAAACTAGGATCAGAGGGAAGGGGAAGAGGACCTCTCTTATCAGTGGGCTGGGGGAGAATTATAGGTGAAGAAGAGGGAAGGAGGGTGGGATTGGGAGATACAGGGGGATACAAAGTGAATAAACTGTAATTAATAAAAATTAAAATAATTATTAAAAAAAGAAAAAAGAACTTACATAGTAACCTTAAGGAAAATTATGCCATTTTGAATCTTAGACTATCTCTGTAAGTGGCTAAACAGCAGGATTTGCCACCCTGACTTTTATTATGTAAATTAGGCTGATCTGGAACTCAGAAATCTGCCTGTTTCTTTTTACTTTGTGTTGGGTTTAAAGGCATGTGCCTTCACCAACTTGTTCAAATACTTTTTCTAAATCTATATCATTGTTACTCAAAGCCTTTAAATGAAATTCAAGCAAAGAGACAAGAAAATTTAAGTTTTGTGTCAGTTGTGCCAATTTAGGATGTAACAAGCAAAGTCCAGTTGGTTATTTTTTGGAATTTTGTTGTTGTTACAGTGAAGTGGCAGACCCTTACCAGAAAGAGCTGACAAGCATCTTTCAGCCAGAGAGTTTGAATTTTAACTGCTATTAATCTAATTTTTATTAAGAAGGTTGCCCTTTCTATATTCTGTAATTTAGTACTCCATTCCTTAAGATTTTTCCCCATTTTTTTCCTTGAACGTTCTTGAAGAAGGCATGGAGAAGAGCCATCACTATTAAACATATTGCAACCAGATCCATGACTACGACAACCAAACAAAGCCAAAAGGGATCCAAACACACTCTGCCACAACATTTTTATTTTTGTTGCGGTTTTAGGCCAAGCTTTGTCTAGCGATCTGTCTGCCTCCAGTTCCTTTCTTTCCAGCCAAGGCTTCTGTTGTTGCTCTGAGCTGACCTGAGCCAGCCACACTATAAGGAAGCCATGCTTGTGTACCCCTCCTCTCAGGCTGAAGCAACAACCAGTTTTGTTATGTTAGGTCTCTGGTCTGCCTGCAGTAGGCTGTCTTTTGTTCCTGGACCTGTTTAAGAGCCTCTCTTAAAAAGACAGTATTTGAACCTGAAGTTTTTAGTTTGGGTTGTATCACTGAGAGCTTATTCTCCCCATGAAATTATGTTAAAGTATGATTTAAAGGGTGTGGATACTTAGATTAGTTGGGTAGCATTTGTTGTCGAATGGTAATATTTACCATTGATTTATTTTTCAGTTAAACAGCAGTTTTTCCTAAACCAGGTGTATACCCAAATCACCACACAGAGACTAGGATTCATTTAATTAACTTAAAGCACAATGCTGTGCAATGATTACTCCATCCTGAACCCCGAAACCCACATAGTTTTCTCCCATTCAGAATTTCTAACATTACACTTCTTTTTAGTCATATCTTAGGTCTGGTTCATCTCTCCTCATGGTTCCAAGACCTCTTCTGATGATCTCTGCTCTCCTACTCCTCCCACTTGCTTCTCCTCCCTTCCAGACCAGGATGTCCCACCCTATTCTCTCCATTGCTCAACATTGTAGCTGGTTGTTTAATTGCCAATACAGAGAACAAATGGTGGCATGTTTACACAAACTTTGGACAGGTGATGTTCAGAATAAACAATACAATGAAATTTCTGGATTGAAACCAGATAGTAGGGGAGAGAAATGAGCATTTGAATGAACAAGGGTAAATTGTATACATTTCACAAGAACATTATACCAACATGTGTGTGTAGACATGGGCAAGCCATAGTGTCTATGTGGTGGCAATACAACAATCTTGGGTGTCAGCCATCACTTTCCTCCTTGTTTGAGGCAAGGTTATATGTTTATTCCTCATATGACAGGCTAGGTGTCCTGAAGCTTTGTAGGGGTTCTTCTGTCTCTGTGTTCCATCTTGCCATAGGAACATTGGGATCACAATGCTTCTCTTAATATCAGTTCCAAGGTTCTGAACTCATGTTCTTACATTTGTGTCACTGGCATTTTATCCTCTGCACCATCTCTCCAACACTCGATATAGTAATTTAATACTTATTGTTGGGATCTGTAAGCAGGCATCTCTATGACCAGCCCCAAGGGACCTGACAAACTGGATATCAGGCATCTGTGAAGCCACCTATGGATCACCTGGAACCACCTGTACATGCTCTGGGTCACCTTCTAAGAGAACTAGAAATTTCTCCTCTCTCTCTCTCTTTTTCTCCTGCCTTGCCCAGAGACAGTGTCTGTTACCCCGTCCCCCTTTCCTTTCCTTCCCCCTTCCATTTTACTTTCCCCTTCCCTTAATAAACCTCCCACGTGGAACCAGTCGTGTGGCATGATTTGTGAACCCACCATGTAACTCTTCTGCACGATTTCTATCACTTATATGCCAAATAATGATAATAAGAATATTCATATTCCGCTATTTGTTTTTTCCTCAAAATTTATGTACCATTTGGCTTGTGGTCACTAATGCAGATTTGGATTCTGCTAACAATTCCTAGGGCACTGCAAATGAAATGGATTGAGACATCAGATCTTCATTTTATTACAGCATTACCACTGCAATTCCATTTGGGGCTTCATCTTTGTTAACTTTAGACAGTACTCTACACATACCTTGAGGTTTTTCTACTGATCTTGTTCTACTTTTGTGCCTCCAGGATTTTGTATTCCTAGTATTCAATAGATTTTGTCTAGATAGGTGAAATCAAGGAACCATCAGAAGGATTTGGTTAGAAAAGGAAGGCAATGTCATTTTCTGTCTTACACAGCCAGGTGGCAGTATTGCTTCTTGAAAAACTAAAAGATCTGAGCACAGGGGGTCCTGTAGAAACTGATGCACCAATGGAGAAACATGCATGGAGTGCACTTATCCACGCTACTCACATGTGACTGATTGGCAACTCAGTCTCCATGTGGATCTCTGAGTGAGGGGATCAGGGGCTGCCTCTGTCATGAACTCAGTTTACTGTTCTCTGATCACTTGTCCATTTTGAAGCAGCCTTGCCAGGCCACAGAGGAAGAGGGTCCAAGCAGTCCTGATGAGACTTAACAAACTATGAGCAGATGGCAATCGTGGAAAACTCCCCATTTCAGTGGACTAGAGGAATGGAATGATGGTAAAAGGGAAGGAGGGTGGGACTGGGGGAGATGAGGGAGAGAGTTTCAATTAGGATGTATAAGAAATAAATTGTGAAGAAAAATTTTTAAAAAAGAAAAATAGTAATCAGAAGTGTGTAGGCTTAACAGTTATGGCCATGGTTATTTTATTCTATTAAAGACAGTCTATCTGCATGGAGTTTTCTGCAGTCATGTCACTGGAATAGCAAAACAAGAATCAAACAACAAAAACTGATCCTTTATTTTTAAAATTATAGTTTTTAAATTTCTTTTGAGTACATATTTGATGATCTGGAGGAAAAAACATACCCTGAAGAAAGGCCATATGAACAACAATTAAAGTATAGTTCCTCACTTTCTTCCTGGTAAAAAGACTCATGATCTTGGAAACAATGACAGTATCTCTACAGTTAGACTTTGGAAACCAATTTGAAATCTATTGCAGAAGAATACAAAAAGAAATTTCATCTAATCCGTGTGAATTCGGGGTAATTAGTGAAATCTAAATTAGTCAGAGACATGCTAAAGGCAGGGCAATTTCACTACCTGTCTGGGAAACTACAAAATAACTGGCTAATGAAGTGGAGCTGACTATAATGTACATGTTTGCCCTGGAGATTGTACTGAGAGTCATTATTTAGGCAGATGCTGTATCTTGTGGACAAGAGATCTTTAAAACTGGAAAAGTTTTAACTTTCTGAACCAATTGTGCTTAATGTCCCCATGGATTAAGGAATGAAGCGCAGAATTAAAGAGGGGAATATTTTAGGAAACTTTCCAATTTCAGTCTGATACCTGTCGTAAAAGGTGCGTAATATTTTCTCTAGGGTTTTGTCACATAACACTTACCCGAGCCTCATTAATAAACAAACAAACAAAAACCTTGTCATTAGTAAGAAAACAGTGTATTTTCATTCATAAGTGTCATGATTATACTTCAACAAAGCTTATTTGAAGAGAAGGAGGAGGAAGAAGAGGAGGAAGAAGAGAGGGAAGGACAGGAAGAGGTTAGTTAATGAGTATACTATCTATCTATCTATCTGAAGTTTGAGCGCTTGGGTTTCAAGTAAATTTTACAAAGCGTATAAAGACCCCGTGTTTCTCCACAATAACAACAACAACAACAACAAAAAGGATACAAGAGTAGTTGTATACACAAAACACAGAGGAAGATATTGTTTCACTTGTAGACCTGTTCCTGACCAGACAGGGTAAAGCAGAGAGAAGTAGGAGTGGCAAGGGGGAATGCTTACATGCAGAGGAGGACAGAGAGAGGCAAGGGTGTCTTCTGCTAATATAAATCTACAGGCGGAAGGAGGAGTGCCCAGGCCTGGGAATGCTGGAGGTCATGTTGGCTCTGGCTATGGTGATGTAAGCAGGTAGCAGAGCCCAGAGTGTCAACCTGCCCAGTCCCTGATGCCTGGCTCTTCAGGTATCAGCTTAGAGAGGGTTTGGGGTGAAGATGCAGGGCCAGCTTGGTCAACTGGCCAGAGAGGGAAGAAGGTGATCGTTCCCTGGAGTCTGCCATGGAAAACCAAAGCTGGCTCTTTCTACTCATCTTCCTTCCTCACCTCTGGCTGGCCCTATCCATCCTACCAACCTCCCTACCCTATCAAGATGCCCACAATACCCAAGAACAGTCACATAAGCAAGGGGGCTTGTAGCTTCTCTTGAGCAGGCAGGACAGGAGAGGTCACTTGACTCCTGCTCTTCTCTTCCTGGGCTATCCAGCTGGCAGGAGGAGGTTGTTTGTAAGGTGGGGGCAGCCTGTCCTAGAAAGGAGGGTCAAGGAGGACACTAGTGAAGAGCTGACCAAAGATCAAGATGCGCAAGCATGCTGGGTGGAGGAGCAAGACAGCCACAAGATTTGGCAGTACTGTAACTCTTTGGGTTTCTGTCCATTGGTGGTGGGTGGCACACTGATGTACACCACATTGTTGCCAGGGGACTCATCATGGGCTACATGGTCAGCAATTTGTTTCTGTGACACAATGCAGTAGATTTCTGTGAGGATGTTTTTGAATGCTTCCTCTACATGGGTGGAATCCAAGGCTGTGATCTCAATGAAAGACAAGTGGTCCTTTTCTGCAAAGGCATGAGCCTTATCAGTGGGCACAGCCTGAAGGTGACACAGGTCACTCTTGTTGCTGTTGCTGTATGCATTATCCCAAAGCCCCTTCTGCCAGTGCTCCATATTCTCATATATCAAGTGCTTGGCACTGTCATAAACCAGCAGTATACCCACTGCACCACATTTTGTGGAGATAATGACACAGTAGCACTCCTGGCTAACAGTATCCCAGATCTGAGCCTTGCTGGTCTTGTCATCCATCTGAGCTCTGCAAGTGGCAAATGCCACACAGGTGGTGCTCTTGCTCTCTAGGTTGACTTCCTTTCTGGTGAAGAGTGACATCAGGTTTCTCTTGCCCACACCTGAGTCCCCAGTAAGCACCAGTTTTAATAGGTAGCCTTTCTCCCAGTTCCCATTGTCCCGGTTCTTCTGGCTCTGCTTGGTCATTTTAACAGTGTCATCAAACACATTTTTTTCTATAGTTAAAAGTGTTATTTTTCCTTCTTCCTTCCTGTCTTACAGAGATTCTTTGAGGGCTTTAATGATCAAGGCAGTTTGGACCTGTTTATCCTCAGTGGTCAATTTTACTATAATTCTTAGACTCCATTATTGATTACCTTGACAGGTCATCATCAGCCTTGTTTTGCAAACAGACCCAGAGACAACTCATAGAGACCACATCAGACTTGACACTAAACCTCCCTTTGATGTAGCTAAAATATATTCCTTTGATGTCACTGGAGTCATATTCAGGCAGTGCGATGAGGCAACTAGTGTTGAATATATGTTAATTCATGATGATTGAAGAAGTTTGAAATGTGTCTTTCTACAACTCTTAGAAGACTAAAATACTGTTATGAAATGTAGAGGGTTAGAGATATCTTTTGTGTGCTCCAGCAAGTTCTTTCTTTCAATAGTTAATGAAATTTCAAATTGACAAGTACTGCATGTAGAGTTTCAAAGTAAAGTCATACTAAAGGCTATTACTGGTATTCTATTATTTTAACTTTCCTCCTGTATACTACAGAATGTTTAAGGTCTCTATAAAGGTAGAACTATTTCATTAAACCATCTTTAGTAGGTCAAATTCATATAGGGAAAATATTCTACTCTAGCATCTACAAGATTCCAGTATGTTTTTGAAGCTGTATTATGATACCTCATCTCAGATATTATTGTCACTTTTTTGCATTATGATTATTTACAGGATAGAAATAAATGGCTATAGGATGGCTAAATTGTAGGGAGCCAAAGTGCATCCTCAAGCTGCATGTGTAGAGAGCTGCTTTCTTGGTAGGCTGCTTTGTTGTTGAGTGTTCAGTGAGGAGAATATTTTCTCCCTGGCCTTTACCTTGAAGCAAGAGATAAGCAGGAGGTTTTGCCAAGTTTCTTTGAATTGTCTGAAACTTTGAACTATGTCTGCCGTACAGGAATGTGGTTTTTGAAAACAAGTTTGAATGTTCCATAAACCCAGTTCTTGTACTCATATGAATTGTTTTGATTTGTCTTTACAAGGGAGCTGTGGAATAAACTTGGTACTTTTCAGTATTGACTGAAAGCACTCCTGAAACTATCTTAAGTTTTCCCTATTTTAACCTGTAATTTCAAAATCCCCACTATCTCTGTCGTATCCAAACAGAACACGGCTGGTTCCATCACTAAAGTCATTTCCTCTTTCTGCCATTTGTAAAATCTGAGCCCACTAAATGATATTTTCTCTGTCTCACAGTACATGTATCAAAGTGGGAGAGATGTTTTAAAGGAAGAGGGAAAAGAATGAGTTTAAGATTTGGTATTGAGGTTGTTCAGAAGGCTAGAAGTTAATGGTCCTGTAGTGAGCAAGGATCAGTTTACAGGCTGCCCTCCAGGGAGGTGATAATATTCACATAGTTTCTATATGATTGTTTCTGCCTTTCTGGATCAAATAGGCAAGGGATACCACACTCACTTTGTGAGTCATATGCCATTTTATGTATTAGAATGAAAAAGCATGTATCACTTCTGTTCATAACTCAATGTTTAGAAATTCATTGTGTGTCCATCACAACTACAAGGCAAGAAGTTATAATCTAGTTTTGTATGTATAAGAAGGAGTGATACAATAGTTATCTGTAGAGCAATTACAGAATATCTATATTACTGTGGTTATTTTTACATTTTAAAAATTATTTGACTTAGGTTTTCTGATTTGGCACAAGTATTAAAGACTCATCAACATAAAGTAAATAATACATTAACTGGTTGTCTTACATCTCTCTATATTAGTGACTTTTCTAGTGTTCACAATTCTTTTGTTCACATATTTTAACAGCAGTTTATATTTTAGAAACTCATCTTGATTATTTTAAAAAGTATTTATTTTTAGTAGAAACAACACTTTTTATTTGAAATAATTATTTCAAATAAACAATATTTACTTCAAGTTACAATAGCAAAAATAGGCTTAAATACGTTTGCTATTCAGATTCTTGCTAAACACAACACAAGCAATCAGTACCATGAAAGGCAGGGCGTTTCAGATATGCCTTTCAGACAGGCATGTTCAATTTATGCTGGGAGTCAGTCCAAGGACTTAACAGAGGGAATGTAGGGCTTCACTTAATCAGGAGGGTATTTGATAAGGAGTGCTTAATTAAATCAATTTCTTCTTGAATTTATATTTTCTAAGATTTTGAAGAGCTTACCTGAAGCCTTTTGCTCTCATTATTTTGTCTAGGTTTAGAAATAGTTCAGTGCATTAAAGAGATAGTGCTGGATGGCCCACAGCAGAATGGAAAAAGGATAGATCTCACAGGAGCTGAGACCATGAAGAAAACAGCACTGTAGAGCTGGAGACGAGGGGCAACACATTATTTGGCAGCAGTTTCCCATGGATTTGGAGAGCAGTGAGGGAAAGCTGAACCTGAGTCTTTCCAGCCTTGCCAGAGACTTCTGTTTCAAGCATGGTGAAGGTGTAACAAAGGGAAGCTTCATGACCCTAAGGTGCCCATTAGTCTCTATTAGATATAGACATTCAGATCCAAATTGGTAGAGTAGATGACTGAAGAAGGATTAATGTTAAATAGCTCACTAGCCTGGTATATTTAGCACTTAAAAGTCGGTTTTGATTTGATTTGAAGACGTAAACAAGGGAATAATATTTCTTTCATTTTTTTTTCTGATAGTGTCTCCAAATATAACAGGTTGTCCTTGAATGGTTACTGAACTTACAAATCTCCTACTTCTACCTCTCTAGTGCTGGAAGACAGGCCTCACCATTGCATCCAGTTTATATGCAGTTTATATTCAGGAGTTGAACGTGGGGCTTCCTTTGTGCTAGGCAATCACTTTACCATTTGAACTATATCTCCAGCCCACTGGGCTATTTCTTAAATAAATTTTGTACTAACATTCATACCTGTTTCAAAAGTAAGATTGTCTTCTAAGGATAACATTTAGAAAGGTCTGACATTTCTCAGGTCATCAGAATAGGGAGGGTATGATAATTGTATATTTTTTAAGTGTTCAATTTGAAGAAAACATAATTATGAACAAAAACAACTGGTAAGAAAAGAATAGCCAATGTGAGCACTATCAGTACATTATGACTGGGAAAATAAAAGCTCAATAACAACTACACCATCTCCACAGAAATTAGGATATGAATTTCTGGTGAAATTAAATATTTCAACTTTTTTTTTTTACTGTCTCATGGACTTTGCCACTAGCATTATAATATTTTGTTATCTAGTATATTGCATATATTGGGTGAAAATAAATATATCAAACTGTTTTTTAAATGATATGACTGAAAAATATATTTCTCATTTCATATTAGATTTCTAATTTTATGTGATACTTCTGTGAGCTTAGATGTACCTTAGGTATAAACAGCTTTGTGGAAAACTGGCAGTTTAAAATATGAGAAAAAAAAATCATGACTTTTTTTCCCCCTTATGAAGTGTTTGTCAGAGCATTGACAAAAGAGTCCTTTCTTCTGAGACATTCATCTTTGGAGTGCTAAGCAACACAAAAGAAGCTAGATTACCATGGTGTAATAAAGTTAAAGAGGGCCGCATGAAGGCCGGAGACCATAAGAAGAGAGAGAAATATTCTTGCTTCTGTAGCCATACAGCTGAATTTCTTGATTCCTAGAACAGAGACTGTGATAAGTAATACATGCTGGTTGGTGATGGAAGCCATTGAGTTGTGAATTGATTTGATAGGCATGGGTACATCATTAGAAAATGTACCAAGGATTTTAGATTTCTGGGTCTGGAATGAAGAGGTCCAAAAACTGAGCAGCAAGAAAAATACAAAGTATCTTTATAGTGAAATGCTTCTTGGTGGTAAGTCAGTTTGCCTCTGCCATTTAGCTGGGACTCTCACTTAAAGCTCAATACCAGCTAGACATTTTTTTATGGACCGTAAAACTACATTTCCTTGCCTGTATCCTATATCTACCAGTCTAAATATTGAACATGTATAGCAAGTGTGTAATTAACACTACATTGATCAATGAGAGTATCCTGAAGTCAGTCCCATGCAGCTAAGAGTCTCATGCCCCAGAAGCTTTATTTTAATTGAAACTGTCAAAGGGAATCACACTGTCTGAAGCCACACTGGAATACTAACAACTAACATGTTTGGATTGACAGAATATCCAACTGTAGTTCTCTGTACCCACCACTTTCCAGGTTTTTGCACACTTCATGCTTACAACATAGATTTGATTACCATCTCCATTTCACAAATGCGTCACAGAGAGTTGAGAATGCTTCTGCAGGGTCACTCGAGACATAAGCTACAGGGGGAATGGAGCTAATGGTCTCTGAATATAGTTCCATAGCCTGCTTCAATTTTACTGAATCTCAATTGACTTAAAATTCTACAATGATATTATGAATCATTGTTTCTGTGTAGGTGATATGGTAAAAGATAGAGAACACAAGACTTAAGGTCTGGTTTTGTGTAAGATCTTAGTCTTCTACTGAATGTGTTAGCTCACACATGTTATATGACTCCTCTGAACAGACCTTTGAGAAAAAAAGTTGGTAATGTAGATACTATAATACATGTTTCAGGAGTCAAAGCTTGTTAGCAGCTCTCCATAATGCCAGTTCTAGTGACTATTCCAAATCAGTTAACTGGATTGTTATCTTCAACTGATAAGGCAAACCACAACGTGGAATTACAAGCCAAACAGAACACAAGTGAGGCAGCATAACCTGAATTGACATTTCCCAAAGAATTTTTAAATAGTCTACACTGAAGCTTCTCAACCAAATATTCAACTTTTGAGGAAATCTGCTGGCTAAAATGACAGAAACGAAGGAAATTTTTAATGTGGAGAAGATTTCAGTTATAAAAGATTTCAGTTATAAAAATTTCATGTTAGATATGACAGGTGAATCTTCTTTCTCTTGGAGCTAGGGGAATTGGCCCAAGGTTTCCAGTATTAGAAGGAA